TTAAGTAAAGATCATGTTCCATGAAGATATTTTGTAAATTTCCTATTGTAAATATATCAAAACTTAATTTTTGATTAGTAATATGCATTGCTAAGAACTTCATTTGAACAACTTTAAAGATGATTTTCTCAATATTTAGATTTTTTTTGCACCCTCAGATTCCAGATTTTCAAATAGTTGTATCTCAGTCAAGGCGATTTCTCATTTTCATTTAGTTTAACTAAAACTACAATAAACCTAATAAAAAGACAAACTAAAACTACAAACATGACAAAAAGTACAACAAAATTGCTCAAATTTAACTCAAATGAAAATATAAAAGTAAAACCTTATTCAATACTAATAAAGACTATCTCAATTATACAAAAATAACACTGAATTACAAATCAAATTGATTCTGAATGAACAAATCATTGAGATAAGACAGGTTTCTTTGTTTATAATGATCATTTGAAAATAAACAATTTGACTGCAATATTTAAAAAAAAAAAAAGATAGCTAAACATTAACACATAATAATTATTTGTATTAAAAAGCCATTATAAAAATTAACAAAATCATAACGAACGAGAAAGAAACAAATGTGTACTAGAAGTGGATTTTTGGCCCTTTCGACGGAGATAATGCACAAAAACATCGCCCATATCATCACAAGATGAACTGTAACACACACACTGATCAAATGTTCACCTGTTGCATTAAAGTTGAGCCAGTTTTCATCGCATGATTCATATAAGTAGCGATAGAGTTTCTTGCCCAGCACTGCAGCTCCTGTCCCCAGCAGCAGCGAGGTGGACACGGGCTCTATGGCCTCCACGACCAGCCCTGAGATCAGGATTAAGTGCAGTACGGTTGTCCATGTGCGAGGCGGCCGAGCTTTCATTGTACTAAATAAATCATCGATATTTTTAATTGGAAACTGAAAGGAAAAAAAACAACGAAAGATCCAACTCACAGCCCCGCCACTTCCTACTTGGGAAGAGTGACGTCGTTTGCGTGCGACGCACGACGCATGCGCGCAGCGTTCAATAGTGCACGTTGATACATTTGGTCACTGGGTCGAGCATTGCCAAAATCATATATATATATAAACTTTTTTTTTTAATTATGCTTGCGTTATAAAACATGTTGACATATTATTAGATGAGTTATGATTTTTGTCTGATTCATATATTATCATATAGCCTGTTATTTCAGTTATTGATTAATATTAATTACATTAAAATTAATTGCGAACAAGTGCAACTGAATAAGCAGTATCAGTACAAGAATTAGCGCTGTAATACATAGCATAAATGCATTTCACACCAGATATGAGGTCAAATGCATATATCAGATTATAGATGATAGGCTTATTAAGTGTCAGGTGCATTAAAATTATAAACACCATCAATGCAAGAGGATGATTAATATTTTAATCAATTCTGACTGCCTGATTGTAGCCTATGGCATTTAAATGCTGGCATCGGCATGGAATTAATTAATTTTAATAAAAATAAATGTGGATTTAATTCACTGTAATATAAGGAAAATGTGGATTTATAGGACACGACCCATAAACATATCCATTCTTGCGTTCTAACACAACAAATAAAGACAAAGCAGCTCTTGCAAACCTGTTTTGTTGTATGAGATCCACTCGGGTCTGCAGCACTCCTGGAAGTAATAAAGCACGTTCTGATAACGGGCCAGGAATCCGGTGAGCGCCGCGGCCATCCCGACCGCGATGCTGGTGCTGATCGGCTCTATCGCCGCCGTGATCGACAAACTCCACAACATACAGCCAGCGAACAGCAGCCGACATGTCAACCGCATTCTGCTGTCTGACACCGAGGAGCGAAACCGACTCTAATCCGGTGCAGTAAATAATGATGAGCAACTTCCGTAAACCGAATCAAAAGCGTTCCGTTCAGAGTCAAGCACGAGCTGCGAGAAGTTCCACGCCAAGACGTCACGCGGATCAATAGCGTTGAAATGCTCTTGTGGTTTCACGGTTTTTACTTCAAAAATACATTGTCTCTACACCTACACATTGTCTCTTCATTGGTAAACAAAGTGAAGGAAGTAACCTTTCAAATTTGACATACTACCTAGTAAATAATTTTCTTGTTAAATTTAAAAATTTGATAGATTTGAACTGTTCTTTTTGGAATATGGTGACTGAAACTTTGTTTCATTTATTTTGGCATTGCTCTCATGTAAAAAAAATTGGGAAAGATTTGACTAGATTTATAATTGATAACATTGACCACACTTTATCTTTGTGCTTATAGAACACGTTTTATTTGATTTTTCTAATATCCCCTCAAATAAAAGGAAAGAGTACTAGGCTACATTATAAATTTAATTTAAATTTTACAGTAAAACCAATCCTTTATTTTTGGTTCTTGAAAAAGAAATTCAAATTTATAAGATAATTATTTATTTACATAATAAGAAAGCAATTAAGACTTAGCCCACCCCTGGCTGTATGTGTATTTTGTAAACAAATTTAGTAGTTAATATATATTTTGTTTGTGTTTTATGTATTTATGTGTATTATTGTAGTCTTTACTGTAATTTGATTGTTTATTGAAGTTTAATAAAATTTAAAAAAAGCTGTTGTGGTTTCATATAACAAAAAACCCAGGAAGATATTTGAATTAGCCTATTTGATTAAATTATTAATTAGAGTACTTGAATTTTTCCTGAAATTAAGACTATCAATTCTGACTTCAGAGATATTTTAATGTGGAAGGGTTCTCTTCTCTCCCTATTTGTTCATCAAAGCTACAAAGGAAGTAGGCTAGCTACATACAATATTTTTGATCTTCAAATGTAAATTTGCTCATTTTCAGTGTCTTGTAACTTCAAAACAGTTTTTTGTCTGTTAGAAAGAAGTCATTTACTAACTGTACTGTAATTGTTTCTGCCTATATAGGCTATTTGATGATTCTTGTAACTTCCGTCAAAGGAATATAATACATCGATAAAAGCAATCCCAGTTTGTTTTGTTCAACTAATTAAAAGTTACCCAATGTTTAGTGAGGGGAACATTATGCATTCTGCTTTTCTTTTAGGCAGCACTGATAGGGAAAAACAAGAAGAAACATATTCACAAAATGTTTATTAAAATAAAGGTTACAGCAAGGAATAAATTAGCTTTAAATCCTTCATAAAATCTACTAATCTAATCTAAGAAACGGCTGTCATTTATTTTTTTATGTAATAAACCAATACATTTTGGGCTTATTTAAGTTCTTTTATTTTTATCCCAGAAATAAATCACTCCTTTATTCTGGAAGATATTATTTTTATTAGGAAAATCCTGATGTTTCATTATTTGCACTAGGGATGTAACGGTATGAAAATTTCTTATCACGATTATAGTGACCAAAATGATCACGGTTATCAGTATTATCACGGTATTGTTAAAATGTGCTGGAAATGTTCAAAAAGTACTGACACACAAATCATTTCACCAAGTTTTACATTTAAAATCAACAAACAACAAATAAAATGAGTTTTTGTTTGCATAACTAAAACAATAACATTGCCAATGATGTCCGGATTTTAAATGACAACATGACTGACAACAGTTTATCTAATAGCATGTTCTAATATCTAATGTAAATGTTCAAATAAAGCTTTTAAAAAGTTTCATAAATGGTAAACTTCACATTTCAGCTTTTAAAAGGGTCATATGACGGTACTAAAAAGAACATTATTTTGTGTATTTGGTGTAATGCAATGTGTTTTGCATTACCATATAATGTACATTATTGTTGCTCCTCTATGCCCCGCCTTTCTGAAACGCGTTGATTTTTACAAAGCTCATCGTTCTAAAAAAAAGCGAGGTGTGCTCTGATTGGCCAGCTATCCAGTGCGTTGTGATTGGCCGAATACCTCAAGCGTGTGACGGAAATGTTACGCCCCTTACCATATTGTGATGC